AACTCAAACAAGGGAAGGGAGATACAGACAGTTAACAACAACACAAAAACAATACATAATTAAAAAAAAATTCAGAGTAAAAGAATTGGAAGGGACCTTGGAGGTCTTCTAGGCTACCTCCTGCTTAAACAGGAGACTCTATGCCATTTCAGACAAACGGCTGTCCAGTCTCTTCTTAAAAGCCTTCAGTGATGGAACATTCTTCACAGTCCTCAACTTTTGAAGGCAAGCCATTCCACTGACTAATTGTGATGTTAGGAAATTTCTACTTAGTTCTAGGTTGCTTCTCTCCTTGATTAGTATCCATTGTTTCCCGTCTTGCCTTCTGGTACTTTGGAAATAGGTTGAAACACACACACCCCTTCTTTGTGGCAGCCTCTCAAATATTGGAAGATTGCTATCATGGCACCCCTAGTCCTTCTTTTCACTAGACTTTCTTCTTTTCACTAGAATTCAAGTAAAGAGGATATTTATTTTATATCCTGTCTTTGTTATTTTTACAAATTAACTGGGTAACAGGAGGAACAATATGAAGGTCTTACTGAACTTCCTGAGACAGTCATGATTAGCAAGATATATCAGCCAGCTGATACTCCATGTTCTAGTCCTGCCTTACCCATGAAAGCCAGCTGAGTGACTTTCGGCCAATAGCTCTCGCTCAGACCAACCCACTCCACAGGGTTGCTATTGTGGGGAAATAGGAGGAGGAAGGAGTATAGTGGATGTTCAACACCTTGAGTTATTTATAAAAATAATGAGGAAATATAAACAAATAATATGTGGCAAGTGAAGCCTTCAGAGATATACTTTTCCTCAGGCACTTATGCACTACCACCATTCAAGTTAGATGATTTAACAGAATTTACTTGCAAATGCCTTTGGAAGTAGTGCTTAATGCAATTAGCTCAGCTGTTCATGGAAAACTGGCAGCTGAACCGTGTGACACTAATACAGTATTCATTGCATTGGTTATTGATGTATCTTCAGATCCAATTCAAAGTGCAGTTTTTGATCTTTAGAACCATAACTGCCTGAACCCCAGCTCTCAGGCCAGCTACATCTGTGTCAAGAGTCTTGCTCTTAAAAACCTTCACAAAGGCCCTACTAATGAAGAGTGCTAGTGCCAGCAATTTGATAGTGTTGAAAAAGGGGGCTATTCAGTAAAATCCCCATGCTCTAGTATAAATTGGTATGACCCCCATCTCTGCAAACTTTCAACAGCAGCAAAAACCTATAAGAGCCAAGGTGGCGCAGTGGTTAAATGCAGCACTGCAGGCTACTGCTAGATCAGCAGTTCAGCGGTTCAAATCTCACCGGCTCAGGGT